CCCAAAAATATACTATTTTCGAGATAGAGGATTCCCAGCCATACATTTTCTAATTTTTTCTATTGATTCTAAATATTAGATCTCAATCTATTGATCTATGAAACCTCTCCCATAAAACCGTTTCCTTCGGCAAATATGTTGTCATTTCTGATACCTCATTTTGGAATCCTTTTTTACTAGTCTTAATACGTCAATACAAGTCATATTCCTCCACCTGCTTCAGTTCACAAAAGTGAATACACTTACAATTTTAACTAACTGTAACGAAGTTATAACTACGACGCTAATAATAATCTGTGATTTACCACTGTTGTAGGGAAGGTCTATCATTATATACTCTACAGGTCTTTCCTATGAAAGAAACTTCTTAACCATGTCATTTCATAAACTTATAAAACATGTAAAAATCGCCAAAGTTTTGTTGAACTTCTTCTTTAACCAAACCCTATCAGTTACTTAAAAAATAATAGGAAACTATTTGAGAAATTTGTCAAATGCAGTTTTAAGATAACTTCGTTATTAAGAAACTGTTAAAAAAAAAAATTTTTCTTGTTGACATCAATGTATATATAAAATTATGAAAAAAATAAGAAAAAAATAATCAGACCGCCTGGCTCAAAAATTAATGGGGTTAATGACTGCACTGCTTTCTCTCGGAGAAAGTAGATACGAATCTCAACGTCGAAAAATTATACGGGCTTATTAGAAAAATTAATAAATTGTTATAAATATATATGTTATAATAATGGCATCAATTATACAAAAGAGGGGGTTGGTTAGTGGTTTAAGTTGTTTACTTTAATTCATGAAAGTGAATGGTTTGAAAATGTACTTAAACGTTATATATATCATTTAAGTATAGATCACTGCAGTGGCTTATTACATAGGGAACATTGTCAAAATATAGAACCAAATTCGTAAATTCATAAAACTTCATCTTGGCAGAGTCCGCCCGAATTTCAAGGGATAACTCTTTCTCAGGAGGAATTATTTACCCTTCCTCGCCTTATAGGCTTTACGGATTTTTTTCCAAGGCCAGAAGTAGGAAGGCGAGAGATTAATACCAGAGATGAAATACATCGACACCAGGATCCGAACTCGTAATCTTCTGTTTATCAGGTTGCCGAGCGACGTGTGTTTCACACAATACCCGCTGAGCTATTCTGCAGCTAATATTAATTTATTTAATCAATAAGTATTTTTAATCTAATTGAAAAATTTTAATTTATAAATTTCTTTCTTTGTAAATTATGGAATAAAAATGTTAAAAATGGGTGAAATTTTTTTTTCTCAGTTTGACGTTCCCCTGCAATTTTATTTTTATTTCATAACCATAATACTAAGAGTATCTTTGGATTCCGGTAGGACATTCTGTTTACAAGGAGGAAGTCATGATTTCCAAGTTATATATATATATATATTTTTTTTTTATCCATCCAGTAATTCGTTTAAATATAAGAGTGATGTAAGAATAATATTCGATTTTGATTTACGTTATATTGTATCATAACGACTTCGCACTGTGACACAATGTGGATGACAGTGCATTCCTCCTCAACGTAATTTTCCGTACCAATTCTGGTATATGTTATCCGCCAACATTTAGCTAAGTTGGAAGGATTTCAGATTATCGGTGATAAGCAATGACGCCACAACCTGAAGTCGCTTGTCAGCTTTCACCAAAGCATTACAGGAAATTATGCAACTAGCCATCACGTAGTACTTCCCGTTCTTTTTGAATTATATTCATTGATCAATAGAAACTTACGATTATGATGACTTCGCTAATCAAAACATTTAGAAATTCCTTTGTACTTTTTTACTTTCTTAAGACTTATTTATTATCTTAAAAACTATACTTTTTTTACAACTGATGAATATGGTACAACAAAATAAAATTACACGAAACTACAAATGTTATCAGCCTCATTGAATAAAATTGATGTCCAAAGACAAAATTAATGGATTGCAGTATTTTGTTGTTCATGAAATCATTTACATAATGATATACTGTCAATTAGTAAGTTGTCTTAAATTATTTCGAAAATGGTGTTAGGACACTTCTCAAATTTATCTAGAATTATTCTCTCAATTTCATTGCCTAACTATTTATTAATAATTGTGATCAAACAAAAATTTTTAATATAATGACTTCAAAGAAAAACAAGTTCACACTTATAATTTGATTTACATTTCTAAAAAAAAAATTTAATACATGTAGATACAAGTAAAGTACATATTCTGATGGTGTGGAAGATGAATTAATATATTAATATATATATATATATATATATAATAAAAATTGAACAATATATACATTAATATATATATATATATATATATATATATATATATATATATATTTTTTAATGTATATATTGTTCAATTTTTATTAATGTAGTTTTTGGCCAGATATGGTTTTTATTTTTGTTCATAATGTTATTCTGAAGTTTATTTTCGATCTATCTATATTTTTATTACTTTTGTTTAACTAAATAAATTTGTTTTTCATTACTTTAAAATCAACTTTGTATTCCTACATAAATTGATAAAGCAATTTGAACTATTCTAATTGACAGTTTTGATTAAAAATATTACACAAATTATTGACTTTAATTCATGGATTACTTATTCCATTTTATTTTATTTTTCATTATATATTTTTCTTTTAAAAATTTAATATAATAGTGAATTATAATTTTTATTATAGTTGTTATCTACATATACTTCCAGCATAGATGCATAGTTCGAGGAGAGGGGGAGGGTGCCCTCACCCCAATAAAAATAAAAATATTGAGAGGGCAAGAATATTCTTTCGCGACTGATACGAGGCTGTCTCTCTTCTTCATGTTAAATGTACACAAATATGTAATATATCAGATTTTATATACATAAAAAAAATTCCTTCGACCGTACTATTTTTTTTTAACATAATATGATGTCCAAGATCATTTTTTTCTCCTCCCCCCCAATCAAAAAATTATCTTGTCATGATTTAAAATATCTACTCCTTTCAGTTTCTTTTTCATGGATACATGATTAAACAATACATTCCAACAAAATGAAAATTTTAAACAAGGAAACTGTTTCAAATAGTTTTGCTGAGTGGAAATGGAAATCTGATTTTACAGAGTCAATATTAAATTATATATGGTTGCAAGGATTATAAAGAACGCACAGAGGGTGTGGTAACAACTCTTGGAGAATATTTACAAATGTCCATGATTAATAGCTGGGAGCGGACACATTCATTTGGCTCTGTGCCTGAAGAAACAAGTTTTTTACAAGTAATCTATTGAAACAACTGGTCTTTAAGAAAAAACATTAACAGATAAACATATTTGTTTATAGTTAATATAATAACATATATCCAATAAAAAATTTTCAGCTATGTTTTCAATGTAAAAAATGCTTTAAATTAAAAAAATATTAAAATCGTCCTCTAATTATAATGATCTTCCATATCCTCTCTTGATGTAAAAAGAAAATCTGGAGAAAAAAAAAGTCAACTCTTTGTAGGAGGTTGGAAAAGTTTATCACAGTTCAGAAGTGGATTTTAATTTCCCGCAGGAAGTATTAGTTTGCTGAAATTTTGTCATATTGTCTCCAGTTGTAAGACATGAGGAAAAATAAAGCGATGTTACGGGTGATAATACATAAAGTGTGATAACTGATCAGTGCCAACCTTAGAAATTTGGTACTCCCGGGCAATGACATCATCTCCTTTCTCCTTAAACAATTTATTTAGTTTCCTATTATCTTAGTAAATTTATCCGTCCCAATTCAAAAATAATTCTTTAATATAATATATTATCTTGCTTAAAAAATATTAAAGACACAAATAGATCAATCCAGTAACCTTTGTAAATTATTAATTTTAAAAATAATTAATTAAAAATTATTGTCAAGATCCGTATTTTTTCTTTCATTGACGTTTTACAAGAACTAATAGTAAATACAAGAAAAAGTACATTCCATCTAACTTTTATTAGATACATTAATTTTATAATTAGCATATACATATTTTTTATTTCAATCAAGTTTCTTTTAATTTTTTTTCATAATAATCTTATATTTTTATGGCTTGTTTATGCAACTAAAACCAGTATTTTTTTTTTTTTTTTTTAGATTGTTTGATAAATTATAAAACATCATTATGATATTAATGAATCATCTCCTATATTGATAATACATTCATGAAAATCTTGTCTTACAGCAAATATTATAATCTTTCATTTAAGAGCCAATAAGCAATAAAACTGATTAACTTTCAAACTTACCCAAAATATTAATGACTAAACAACAAAATCAAAATATACCACAAACTTAAAAATTTACAACAAATTATCTTTACAATATAACAAACCAAAATGCAACCATATATAATATCATCAGCATGGTGACTATTAATATCTCCTCCATAGCAGAGCTAACTCAAACTATTATCAAAAATTACAATATCTTTATAATCATATTATATCACTTAATTTATTTATTTTTATTTTGTCTCAGTATAACCAAGCTTAATAATTATGTTCGAATAAAACAATAACTTTTTATTCCAACTTCATTCATAATGTTTTATTAAGTCATAAATTAAAGAGGAAGTTATCAAATAAACAGTAACCAAATTATTGGCTTATTCTGGTACCTACACTGTTTCTGATGAGGGGAACTAGCCTGGCAAGTGAGCCTTGTCTAGTATTTTTGCCTAGTCCATTTTGCCAACCCCTGATGTCTACCGTGAGGTTACCGCCTCGTACTTACCAAAGTGGGATTGTCAAGATTTATTTCCCATGGCCACCAATGAATGAATTTTAATGGCCCACATCGTAATTGAACCCATAACATTCAGAATCGGGCACACTAGTGCTAAGTCCCAAAGTGATCGGCTATCATGTTCTCGCTATTGGCTTGTGACTATAATATAGTGCATAATGGTATTAACTGGTGAGGACGATTCTTTATCTACATTTTTTCAATTATTAATTTTGTTTCAGAAATCTGATCAATAAAATGTTTCCATATGAAATAACGCATCTAGATGAGGAATTGAATGCAGAATTAATGAAAGATTTCAAAGGTGAGAGGAATGGTTATGTGCAAGTTGGCCCAAAAAAATGGTTTTTCCCCGCAGCATATGCTGAACATGCTGACAATTTTTATAACTTTCCGGTCAAGGAGGACGATGTATGGGTGATTACATACCCACGCTCAGGTAATTTATAAACAAGTTCCATATTAAATAAAATATTTTACAATAACGTGTTGTTTTATTATTTTTTAAAGCTTTAACAAAAAAAAATAATCTTTCATAATAATTTATAGAATATCAACAGCAACTATCAAGTATTTAAAGAATAATACAAAATCAATTTCTTAAATTCACTAAAGATATATTTTTATTAAATTGAACTATTTATGAAGAGTAAAAAGTAGTGGTATGATATGGTGGGGAGTGTAATTGGCAAGCTGCCTAGAGACGAACATTCGTTTCATTATTTATTTAAAAGCTTTCTTTACAATGTTACTTCAGAATCAATTTATTTGGTGATTAGTTATATAGCTGTAGCTTTATATCATTTTCAAACATAATGCTCACTAAATGTATAAACAAATAGTTAACATATCTTTAGTGTCTTTTTAAGAATGGGATCTTAAGAAGTTGGTATTGAAATTAACAATAATAATTCATCAAAGTTTAAAAACTGCTATCTCAAATATTCAGGGATGAGGGAATCTCAGATGGAATGACTTTCTGATTGCAAGCGCCCCATCCATCCTGGATTTCAAAACATGAAATATTTATATATCAATATAGTGTATTTTGTTTTTACAAAATAATTAATGATATGGTTTTATAGGAACAACTCTGACTCAAGAACTGGTATGGCTCATTGCAAATAACTTAGATTATGAAACTGCTGGAAATGTCCCTATGGATGAAAGATTCCCTTTCCTTGAGTAAATATTGTTTTATTTTTGAATAAGTACTTAAAAAAACTAAACAACAAAATAAAAGTTTATAAACTAACTCCGTAGGTATATAATATTTCATGATGAGAGATTTCATGCAGAAGTTCGTGAAATAAATAACAATCATCCTGAAGTAGAAAGAAAACTGGCCCTTTGGAGAAAGCCAGTCTACGATTGGGACATACCATCCCCGAGATTGTTCAAAACACATCTACCATTATCTCTTTTACCTCCAGATCTTCCGAACAAATGCAAAGTAATATATGTGGCAAGGAACCCAAAGGACGTGGCAGTCTCATATTATCATCACAACAGGCTTTTGAAGTTTTTTGACTACCAAGGGGACTTTGAAAAATATTGGCACTATTTTCAAAATGATTTATGTAAGATTAACAGTATTCTGATGGGCTTAGTCAGTTTTGTTGTATATTTTTAACTAATTGACCGGTTTGTTCTGTGTTTTTTTTTCAGTGACGTATTCTCCATTTTGGGAACACATAAAGGAAGGATGGGAAGTAAAAAATAAAGAGAATGTTCTATTCTTATTTTATGAGGAACTCAGTAAAGTAAGTTTCTCCTTACTTTAATAATAGTATTTTCAAATAAATGTAATAAAATTTTATAATTAATTCATAATATCCTTGAATTTGGTCCCTTACATTAGTACTTAAAAACTCTAAGAGCATTATGATTTTTTATATATAATAGGTAGACAGTGTAATTTTCACAATATGATTTTTTATTAAACACAAATTTCAAATTAATATCCATGAAATTCTGTATCTAATTAGTACTGCATTCAGCTACATATTAGCTTGTATGAAAAATTTTAAAATTCTAAGAGCAGTAATATTGACCAAAAACCATGATTTTAGAATATGCCAGACTGTATCAGAAAGGTTTCAAACTTTCTTGGGAAAACATTAAATGACGAAGAGATTAACAGACTGAACAATCATTTAAGGATAGACAATTTCCGAGGAGCTGTCAGATTGCCTCATGATGTAAAAGGACTTAAAAATACAAGAGAACAAGGATTTATCAGAAAAGGTAACATGATCGAGAGGTATATTCTTGTATTTAAGTCAAAGTTAGAATAATTTACTCTACTTTCTCCTCCAGTTATTCATTTATATGATTCTATTTCTTCTAGTGAACACATTTTTTTTTTTTATTCTACTTCTTCTCTTTTGATTGATCATGTTGAAAAATAACAACGAAAAATGGCCAAACTCTTTAGTTCATAAGTTTTTGCTTATACTGGAAGTGATTAGCTAGGAGAGTAAAGAGTTACAGTTCCCTTGGACTGACAATAGGAGCAATGACATCAGTGGAGAACGTTTATAGTAGAAGAGGGAAGTGATAGTCCTAATAAAAACCTGTACTACTAACAACCCATGAAGGGTCTTGGGTTCAGTACTATTTAGGGAAAGTACTGTTTCTTAATCAACGGTTGTGCAAGGAAGTGATATGACTGAGATCACGCTCAACCGCCAGGTTTTCTACCTTAATTAATTATTTAATTAAGGGTACCCACTTCATAGAGACTGGGTGTGCCCCAGAAGGGTCTCGTAATGACGGGGTCGCCTCACGGCTAACGAAACAGAATAAATAATTTTTCTGTCATGAGCCGGGATTCGAACCCAAGACCTTGAGCATTGGAAGATTAGTGCCCTACCACTGAGGTACCTCGCTCAGTCCTAATAGGGTATTGTAAATCTCCCGGCTTTTAATACCCGTTGTTGGTTAAAATTGCACCAATAAACAAAAAAAAAAGAAAGAAAAATGCTAAATACTATATACCAATAAATTACAAAATTAACAATTACAAACCAAAAAAAAATGTTAAATTCTACAATACAAATTCTACATCAAAGGAAAAAAAAAGACATTATTTACCTCCAGGATCAAAACTTTATAACTTTTCCTTCTTCTGAAAATGTGAATTCTACCAATTTAGTCGTTTTGATATCTCTGAAACCAATGGTTTAATAAAAAAGGTGAAGAAGACCATTTTTGTAGAAATTTAATAGTACTTTAATATTGTAAGAACAATCTTTACGACAAACCTCATAATTTTTAAGATATTCTCAAAAAAATAAAAAAAAGTTAATTCTCTGTTCTTCTCTTCCTCCTTCCAAAAAAAAGTTCCCTAATTTTACTTTACTAATAATAAGAAAATTTTATCTGGTTTGCTATGAAGCAATTGGTTGTATTAAAAATCAAAGAATTTTTTAGTTTCAAGTTTTTATTCAACAAAAAATATGGCTGACTTAAAAAATACAAAACTTCAGTTTCCTGTATAACTTTGTGAAATTAGACTATGAATTATATTAACTTTTTTGTAGGTTTTAAGATCAACTATCACTTATCATCAATTAAATTAAATCAATGTCAATATCACAAAATTTCCAATTGATCAATATTGAACACAATTCTGCTAATGACTTTCTTGAATCATCGAATAGTAGCCTTTAATAGTAGCCAGCGATCAAAAATAATTAAAAACCGAATTCAACTTCGAAATGTTCATCATGTACCATGAAAAACATCAATTTCATGGTTTGGGGCATTTTTACTTAAAGTGGAAATGCTATAAATGTAATATCATGAATATCTGGGATTTAAATAAAAAAAGAAAAGGATTATTTTTGTAAAGATTTTGAAAAAAATTAATATTGTACTAAACAATCTTAGCAAAAAACCTTGTAGTTTTTGAGATTATTTTAAAAGAAAAAACATCAGTTTTCTGTCCTTCTCCTTCCCCAATTGAAACCTGATGCAGAATTCTTTGTGACTTGTTACCAGTTATCAAGGAGAGAGTAATGAACAATTTCTGACAAGTATAATATATATATATATATATATATATATATATATATATATATATATATATATATATATATATATATATATATATATATATATATATATTTTATGTTTGGGTTTTGCGTGTTTTTTCCCTTAGTTTTACTATTACAATACTGATATTAGTACTAATGTAGTATATCTAATTTAATATAAAAGGCAACATAATATAATAAAAAGTGAAAACATTATAAGATAAATTATTCATTAAAAGAACATAAAAACATAAAAAAAAAATTATTTGAAATACTGTCCATTGCTAGTATTCATTTTTCTAATCTCTGCAGGCAATCTATGAATGCATGCCAGAAAAACAGTTCCTCTGTTATGGCGAACCAGTCAATAAGCCATTTTCATAGGAAATGAATTGCTCCATTGATCCAAATATATAGTAGTTGGTCAGAGTGGTGTTAGTTTGTTGGTCAGAGCACGTGTGGCTTACTCTGGTGAGTAAGCCATATGTGCTAGTATTTCCCAAATGAACCCCTCAATTGTTTACTTCACTGCTTTTCCTCTGTGTGATGATGCCTTATCATGAAGTGAAATCACCTTATATTGTCTTTTTTGAAATTCTGGATATTTTTCATGCAATATTTAATTCAAATTGATCAGTATTTTTGTCAGCAACACTTTTGTCAGGTTTTAGGAGCTCGTAATGTATGTCACCCTTCTGATATCACTAACATAGAGTATTTTCTTCTTTTCAAAGCGACTTGGCCTTATAATCAATGTTGGTTTGCCATGAGTTACTCATGGTGTTTGAAGTTTGGGATTCTCAAAATATATTCACTTTTCATCACCAGTCACAATTCAATGGATGTCGTTTTTCTTGCTACCTTTCACTTAGTTTATGTAGATCCTCATTTTCCATCTTAGGGATCTTTCTCATGGTTTCCAAACAAATAGAGTTTCAACATCCTCTCATGCAATACTTGAAATTTTCTGCCTTAAAACTTTTTCTGTGGTCGTTTTCTTCTTCTTCTTCTTTTATCGGCACAACAGGTGCATGAAGCTTGGTTCTTGGCCTGTTCAACAGCCACCAACCATCTCTCTCTATTTTCTACAAGAATAACAGGGATCTTCAGTTGTCACAGATCCTGCCCCCCAGCATCTTTCCATCGGCCATTGGGCCTACCACATCAGTGAACACCATTGAGAACATTAATATACAATTTATGAGCCACTCTTTTCTTGCTCATCCTCATCACATGGCCAAGCCACTTAATCCTCTGTATCCTGATATACGAGGAGATACTACATTCCTTGTAGAGCCTAAACAACTCACTATTTTTCCTTCATTCCCGATTACTATTCTCGCATATGGGCCCTATGATCCTCCTCAGAATTACCCTTTCAAACCTGTCTAGCAGGTTAATGCTTTTATTGCTTAAGGTCCACGTTTCTCCACCATATGTGACGATTGGCCTTATCAGCATTTCGTAAAGCATAAACATGGTGGTATGGCTAACAAGTTTGCTTTAGATTAGCTTTAAAATGGAGAAATAGGCTCTATTTCCTGCTGCTATTCTGCTTTTAACCTCATGTTCCTCATTCTGATCATCCTTGATGATAGAGCCAAGGTAAAAAAAAGGTTCATAACCACTTCCCCCATCGTAGGGGCCCATTACAAAATGACTCAGCCTCTGATCCAGTGACTTCTGACTCAATATCATAATCTTTGTTTTCTTCCCAATAATATGCAAGCTGATCTTTTTAGATTCGACATCTATCGCTTCAAAAGCCATCCTAATGCTTGAAAGGGATTTAGCAATGAAAAATGTCTGCATAGACCAGAACTTGGGTCAGTTTTGTAATTCTGTGTATTTTTTCTGTGGTCTTCCATGTTCTTTATTCCTCATATCATAATCACCACTTACACATTTTTAAAACATTTAAAGCACTTTGATTAATCAAGAGTATGCTAACCATAAGCTTCAACAAGCAATTAATGCGATTCTGCAGCAGTTTTCCTGAAATAAAAACAGAAAACTAATGCTATCCACAAAATATAATTTGAAGACACTAAACTGAACATGTTCAATGATACTAAAACAATACTGTTGTGAATTGAAAATCTCTGTCAGGTGTTGAAGAAATAAAATAGAGCCAAAAATACAGTTTAATGGTAACTACATCAATAACTAAAGTCTTCCATAGACGAACTCTGGTATAATTTTTGTCAATAATTTCATATTGACAAATTTGGTATAATGTGCATCATGCTATAATTCTTATTGAGTTTTTATTATTACTTCAGGTAAAGTTGGGAGTAATGAAGAGTACACAGGAATACTCAAAGAGAGAGCCTCTGAATGGATTAAAGAGCATTCAACAATTCTGCCATCCAATTTCTCACTGATTCAAGTTTAGAATGATTTTAGTTTTTTTAAAAGATAGTTTTAGGTGTTTTGTATTGTAACACCAATACTGATTGTTATCATTAATCACATGACTTTATTCAAAGCTATTGTTATATGATTTTAGAAGAAATGTTTTAAATTAGGAAGAATATTCAGAAAAAAATAATGATTAGTTTATTTTTAAATAACAAAGTAACATGCCTTACATTATGATCTATGTTTTAACAATTAATGAAGAAAATTTCATATATTTTTGTTATTTATTAATATTTAAGTTATAACTCACCTACAAGAATATGGAATGTCATAAATGTAAACAACCACAAGAAAAGAAGAAACTCTTCCCCTCAATTTCGTTGATGAACAAATATACAATAAATTAGTTGTTTTGTTTTTTTCATTTTGCTATAAATGAGAAAATTTATTGAAAATAATTCAAAGGAAAACAAAAATTAACAAATAGATATAAATTCATAAATTATTTCGAATTATCTAAATTTTAAAGGCACTAGGAGGGGGACGTCAGTTTCAACTTAGTTCTTAATAAGTTTAGCTTCAGTCTGTCATGTTCTTGTGAGTTATAGCTGTCTACAGTAGACAAAAAATTCTATCTTGAATAATTCAATTTACTTAATTTGCAGTTACACCATGTATAATAATATAAATATTTTGTATATCATGCTTATCGTGAACATGTACACAACTTTTACAAATTTTTGATTGTATAGTTCTTTGTTGATATTCTTTCATTTCATTAGTTTCATAATAGTAGTTTCATTTATGTTAATGATAATTGTACAAGCGAAACCTTAATTGTTAACTTAGGAATAAGTATTTATTCTTTAATAAGTACTTTAGATTATGTTGGTAGTATTATTTATTTATTGTTTTGAACAAATATTGTTATTTTTGTTGCACTATTTTAATATATTCTTTACCATGATAGTTATATGTATATACAAATACATACTAAGATAAAAAGACCATATTTCTTGCATTCCATAAGAGCAGAATTTTAATAAGAGTAGAATTTTAAGATGTTCATATTCATAATTGATACTCATTTTTAAAAGTAAGTTTAATATTTTTTTCCGTGTTAAGCAAGATATAAACTTTCCACTTACAAGTTGTAAAATCTGTAGAAAATCATGCCAGTTAACCTTGAATCAAAGAATAGTTTCAAAAATCTAATTAAAAAGTGACTAGAAAAGGGATATCCAATCTTTTTATAATGCTTGCCGCAGCCAAGTGTTCCTATTTTGATGCATGCTACACTGTGCCCTCCAATCTTATATCCTGCCACCTTTACAATATTTTTTTTATAAATATCTGGTGAGGAGCATGCATCATACAACTTTTACTTATCTCCATACTTTGAGTGAAAATAGGTATTTTCATCATTTAATGTAATAGCCTCAAAATATCAATGTCATTAGTGCACCTAATAAAGTAATACTACTTTTAAAATATTTAGCTGGCAGTAACTGAAAGTAAAAATCATAGATAGTACAAAATTTTATTTAAAACAATGGTAATTATTTATATGAGGATCACAGATGTTACGCATATGACTGACAACTTTCAAAATCACTTCGATTACATTTGTTCATAGAGTGCTGAATGCATCTGGGTTTATCCGGAAGACTGATTTCGGCATATCAATAACAAGTGTGACCGAATTAATTGTGAACCATGTGTAACCCCCTGTGGTCCTCATCTAAATAATTACCTCTGATCCCTTCTCACTACATAAATTACCTGAGATAAAATAAAAAATAGAGCTAGTGTTGTGAAAATCTTGTGCAGGGCGGTCCCTCCACGCCCAGTGGTATAATAAAAGGCTTCTAGCCACAGATGCAAAGAACGCAGCGTGCATAGCCCTCTTACCTTAAAATGCCCTTGGCCAATAAAAGGAAATTGAAAATTTATGTATATATACATTTATATATTGTATTTTGTAATCATGAAATTCCTGGGGGTAGGAAAAAAAAAAAAAAAATGAAAATCTTGTGATATAATAATATTCAATCATATCGAATATCGAAAATCAGAAAAAATAATTTAAAAAATATAATAAAAATAGTTTCATGTTTAAAAAATAAAAACTGTTTATTGTGATAAGAATAATCACTATATATTTTCAAGAAAATTATTGAATTTAGGTAAAAACCCAACTCTGAAATTTTATTTTATTTATATTTAACGGCTCGACAGGAGCCTTAAGCTGCCCTTGGCCCTCTCAACTGCCCCTTACCAATCATTTCGGTCAGCAGCATGTCTGCTGGATACTACCACCATCATCAAGTCCTCAGCCATATAGTCCTTCCACCTTCTCTTCGGTCTTCCACGTGGTCTGACTCCATCCTGGGTTCCATAATATAATTTCCTCATGGCTCTGCATATCCTCATGGCTCTTCATCCATTCTGATAATATGTCCAGCCATTTTAAGCGTTGAATTCGAACAAAATGAGAAACCCAGAGATTGTCGAATAAGTCGTAGATCTCTTTGTTCTTCCTTAAACGCCATGTACCATTCTCTCTAACTGGCCCCATGATGCGCCTCAACACTTTTCTTTCAAAACTGTCAATCTTTTCAGCCAGGCAGTGTCAATCTTTCAATCTGACCCTACTTAATAGCTTACTCCGGAGGAAACTTCTTAGGGAGAAATATGCTTTGTTAGTCCCCATTACCCGATTTTGAATTTCTTCTTCTTCGTCAACCTGATCATTAACGATGGAGCCAAGATACTTAAAAGTGGACAGGCATTAAAACACATATTGTCCCACTACATAATGCTTAGGAGGATTTATAGGAGTTTTCTTCCTGAGCACCATAATTTTTGTTTTTTCCTCATTGATGGATAGCCCCATTCTTCCAGCTTCCCTTTGAAATCTTTCACAGGCCTCCTCGATCGCCTTGAGGGACAGTCCAATCAGCGCATCATCCGCATATCCAAGCACTTGAGTCATTTTAAATAAAAATCGTGCCTGACTGACTAAGCTAAGCTCTATTCACCACAACTTGGAGGGCGATGTTAAATAGAAGTGGAGAAAGGGGGTTACCCTGTCTAACTCCTGACTTCACTGCTAAAGATTTTCACTCGACTCACACTCTCATTCAAAGTACGCAATACAAGTCGGATTAGCTTTGGTGGAATTCCCATCTCTTCCATTGCCAGATAGAGCTCTTTCCTGATAATGGAATCATGTGCTGCTTTAAAATCGATGCAAAGGATCCATATAATCTTGTTGAATTCTTTTGTTTTCTCCATTATTTGTCTTAAAGAGCTATTCCTTCTGATCCCCCTCGTAATCGCCCAACCGAGGTTCCACAAAATCCACAATTAGATTACATAAGATAACAGAAAATATTTTGTAAGCACTATTCAGGAGGCTAATTTCCCTATAATTATTACAGTCTGTGGAAGCATCTTTACTGAGCATCTGATACTCGTCATCTTCCCTAGGGTTTAGCAATTCCTGAAAATGCTCCATCCATCTACCTTGCACATCTTGATCCTGGAAGACCATTTTCCCATCAGAACGCTTTATCATTGGGCAGTTATATATAAAACCTGATTTTTATTTTGTTTATTTCACCAAAAAACTTTCTGGCCTCATTGTTCCTGCTGTACTCTCCCACCTTACACCAGTTTTCCTGCAATGCATATCTTTTCTTTTGCCTCAGAACCTTTTTTGCATTAGCTCTGGCTTCCTGGTACTCCTTTCTGTCCTGTCTAGTATCCCTGTTTAAAAGTTTTTTCCTCTTTTCGTTGCGCACATTGACTGCTTCTTCACACTCCATGTCAAACCACACTTTTTTAGCTTTCTGTTTCCATCCCTCTTACAATGTTGGTCAGCTGAATCGGATATAGCTTTTCTAATATGGTTCCATTCCTCATTCACATCTCTTCCTCCAATTACAGCTGGAATGTTACCTACACCTCTTTCAACGTCTCTCAGGAAAGCATACCTTATTTCCTCTTCCTTTAACTTTTCTCTTGCCCAGGTGATCTGCGGTTCACTCCTTTCAAACATTTTTATCTTATATGCTTGTTTGACCTTTGCAACTACCAGAAAATGATCAGAAGAGATGTCTGGCCCCCTATATGATCTCACATCATTAACTATATTAAAATGTCTACTAGAGACCAGAACGTGATCGATTTGCTTTGTAGTCCAATTGGTGACATCCATGTTTGCTTGTGTTTTTCTTTGTGAGAAAAACTGTACTCATCGCTACTAGTGATCTAGATGCAGCAAAACTAATCATTCGTTCTCCATTGTTATTTGTTTTCACATGCAAGCTATGTTTGCCAATGGTAGGGGCAAACACTGGTTCTTTACCAACCTGAGCATTAAAATCACCCAAAACTATTTTCATATCAAAGGAGGGGGAAGCAGCTATAGTCCGTTCTAAATCTTCATAGAAAATGTCCTCTTCTTCCTCATCTTTTTCTTCTGTTGGGGCATGAACATTTATCAAAGTGATATTAAACTTTTTCTCTTGAATCCTTAACTTGCACAACCTTTTGTTAATTGTTTGGAAATCAAGAACTGCTTTCCTCATCCTTGATACTATGAAAGCTGTACTGAACTCATGTCTATCCTGGTCTCCACTGTAGAAACTATCAAAATCGTTTCCACTTTGCTTCCCAAAACTGGTCCAACGTGTTTCCTGAACAGCAGTTATATCTAAATTTAATTGTTGCAACTGTTTTTTCAGTTATGTCCATGCTCCAGGTTTGTAGAGTGATCTTACGTTCCATATTCCAACTTAATAAGCCATATGATGAGTTCCAGGTTGTTTACATAAATCCGTCCGAAATCCGAGGCTAGACTGATTCTGAAATTTTAAGTTTAACTAAATCAGTACTTCCTCACATAATACTGAACCCAAGACCCTTTATGGGTTGTAGTGATACAGGTTTTTTTTTGTAGGCGCCAACACTCCTCTGCCACATCATTCAGTACTTATAAATGGCATTGTTATGGTGCTATAACGTTTTTGATTCATTATTTTAATTGTAATAACGAACAAATATCAATGTAATAATTTAAGTGTCCAAAAAAATATATATATATTTTTTTTTTCTACTGAACCATTCCATGCTGACTCATCCAGAAAAAGC